ACACACACACACACACACACACACACACACACACACACACACACACACACACACACACACAAACACACAAAGAAGAAAAAGATAACCACACTTGGTACTGTCTCACCATATAGAAGCAGCTGTGTTTACAGCACACTCTGGTGCAAGTGTTACATAAGCCTGCCTGGGAGATAGTGGCAGATTTGTGCAGTTTGAACAGTGCAGCAATGGAAAATAAGAAGCGGTAATTCGCAGAACAGCTAAGTCAAGAAAGGTTAATTAAACCAATGCTAGATTTCCCACACAGATTCTTGGTTAAGGAACACCAGTCGTTCTTTCTTTTGTATTTTTCTTGGAGCGAACATTTGAGCTAAAGTCTGGAACACAATGCATGCCATCATGTGTGATATGCCATATATCAACCCGTCTTATTTTAGACAAAAATCATTCCAAATGAAAATGTTTTGGAGCATACTTAGAGAAAATTGTTTGAAATAAGATTTTGAAAAAATACATCCAGATCAATGAAGCCCTGCCTCATAATAACACGTTATGTGTGGTGGAGCACATTACCTAACCCACTTATACTGCTTGAAACGGATAACTCAGGGTGGAAGACATCAAACATAAAGCACAGAGGGCTTAATTGATTTCTTTAAAATCCTGTTTATAAAGGCATAACCAATGCAATGATTCATAACAGCTCAGTAAAAGCCTTCAGGCAAGAAGCTGACCTTATTTGCAGACGTGGTCTTTTTTTCCCCTCCTTTTTATAGGTTTGCAAACATGTTCACATTTAATGGGAAACACTCTGCGCCACCATATGCTAAAAGTTTCCTATATAATTCTGATATAACTGGTGATTTAAGTTGTCGTGGCGGAAATTCCGCTTTTTTGGGATGCACAGCAAAACAAGACAGACCCACAGCACGACAGCAGGAAGAGCAGACTGAATGCACAGTCATGAGGAAATGATACCAAAATCATTTTTCACAAACTGGGCCTGCAAATTTTAGCTGTTGTTTAATAGGTTGTGACAGTGATGTGTAATACCGGATGGTCTTGTTTGTTTGATGTTGTATTTATCTAATTTTGAAACTAAGAGGATAATTGATTTAGAAATTACATCCTGACTTGTAAACATTGGATTTATAGATGTTGCTCCTTTTGTTTCACAACCCCATATGTGAGAAGTCATCATTGGCTGGGCATATTGCTTTGGATTTGATAATCAGATCCTTTTGTGCCTTCTTTTTACCCATAGAAATGCTCATTATGAGTCACTTCAGCTTTTTAAAATTTCATTCCTCATCAAATGATCTAAATGACCTAAAACAATATCCCTAGTTGTGAGGGATGTTAATTTGGAAGGAGGGAGATGCCCTATAGCTGTAAGTTCCAAAAAGTAGTATCGATATAAAAAATGCAGAGAGAAAAAATAAACCAGACGATTTAAAAAGAAAAATCCCCAAAATAGACAGTAGCTATCCTTCAAACTTGTGAGAATGATCACATACAGCATGATTCATATGCTGCCTTTTTAGTCGGTCTGCGTGAAGTTACGCATTATGATGATCAGGATCCCCTAGTGTCAGTGTTTCTCGGAGCTGCACGGGCCTTTAAACATCGTTTGTCATGTGCTGCCAGAGTTAGGTTCATCTCAGGTAAATGTTAGCATGCAGATAGAAGAGTTACATTAAGAAACGAAGACAACTCTTCATAGGAGGAAGAGAGCTTTGTGAAACTCATAATTAAAAAATGTTGACAGTTTTTGGAATAAAATCCATGATGTTTTTTTGCTTTTAAAAAAGGATCCAAAAAATCTTTTGAATAAAAGATTAAAATATTAAATAAATAAGCTGGAGAGGCCTATTCAGGAAACATGAAAGAGCAACAATTCTGTGAAGTAAATTAATTATAATCATACATATGTTCCTGAAAACCTGTGTTGGATCTAAGAACAGCGCATAGAAACAGGCTTGAGAAACAGGCTTGAGAAACAGGGTGTGGAATGAAATGAAATATCTCATTGCAGGAAAAAGCTATTACAAAAAGAGATGTTTGGATGACACAAAAACACCTATTTATAAAGGCTCCTGATCAATATGACAAAAAAAACAAAGATTGCTCTGGTGGAGAGTATTTTATGAAAACTCAAACTTCCAGTTTGGAGAGTTGGAGCCAAAGTTGGAGCCAAAGCTCAGTGGTACACATTACATCCCTCTGAGGGGTTGTTCCCATGGCACGATTTAATGGCCAACTTGGCCGTTAAGGCCAACTCACAGATGTACCAATAGCTTGGCACATGGGCATCCATGCACATGCACACACTCTCCAGTGGCCTAATGTGCACTTATGGGTGACAGCATGTACATGGGCCTGGGAATGGCGGGATGCCAAACTTTTGCTGTATGTGCATGTGTCTGTCGGCATGGAAACAAATGGAATATGGAACACTGACTGGATATGTGGGTCTGATGGTGGCAAGCCAAGACTCCTGACTGATATGTTTACCACATATCAGCACAGGCCAAGACCTCACGGATAGGATGAGGAGGAAAGGCCCATGGAGGCAGTTTTCGTAAAGTCAGAACACCATGATCCTGCCAAACTCCACGGGCCAAGAAAGAGATTTCACAACTTTCATGTGGAGGGCGGTCTCACGCCAGATTTAGGGTTCATGTGCTCCTTTTTCACTGAAACATATCGTTTATGTCAGTCTGCAGATGAATGCTGACGGCAGGACGATTGAGTTCAACTGAAAAATCTTAAAGACAGAGAGCTGGATTTGTGGGAACAGGGCATGGCAGGTTTCATAGATGATGGGAGGAACCAAAGTGGATTTTCTGCACTATGCTCCTGGACTCAGGGGGTTACTAAAAGAGCCTCTATACCTTTGGCAACCACCGAGTCCAGATGGTAGGAATCTGGAGCATTGGGCGGGAGGAATGAAGCAGTGTGGGGGAGCAGGAGGGAAGGAGGGATGGAAGATGAAAGGGGAAGAGACAGAGTGAAAGCAGGTAGAGGAGGGGGAGCAAAAGAAATAGCAGGCAAAAACTCTAAGCCCAGCTCAGAAAAACAAATGGCTGGAGGGGACGGTTTTCCTCTGTCTTTCTGCTCAACCTGGTCCACCAGGAAGGACTGATTTATGACACACATGGGTGACTCTCCACTTGTCTTTCCACAGGCAAGCTGGATGACAGATGCTTAGCAGGAGAACGATGAAGAATGAGAAAAGCGAAACACAGGCAAAGATCGAGTGAGAGAGAGAAAATTCAAGAGCTGAAAAAAGGTAAGATCATAGAGTGGCAGGAGATGGAGCAAAACAGAATCAAAGAGGACACTGGCCTGTGTGGCAAAGTATCAAAGTGACAGATACTCCTCCTGTGACCCTCCAGCTCCTGTCTCTAATGGGAGGTCTTGGAGATTGAAACCTCAGCTAAAGTTCCTGAGGTCACTCGATGGGGCCAAAATCATTCGGTCCTGTCATAACAACCAACTAAGAGATGGAGAATTGGTTGTCAAGATGAAAGAAAAAGAATCGAGCAGTGTACGGCTAGAATGATTGCTTTGCAAGTGTACTTCTCCATTACTTTTTGATCTGCAGTTCCACATCCATTACTATTATTACTTACATATGTATAATCAAAACATAATATAACAACAATATATCACTTCCAGAAGATGCTGGCAAATGTGTTGGCACAGGGCTCTCCAGTCAATGGAAGACTCACAAATATTACTTTTCACTCATCGTTACACTGTGTATTTTTTCGTACACTCTGAAATACAAATGAAAAACTTAGAAGGCTACGGAGTAAAGAGAGGATACAAACATGCCCGGAGTTGCGGACTTGGCCCAGCAGAAATACCCGCCCTGCAGCACCACGAATGGCAGCCATGTGCTGCGAGCCTGTTACATGAAGCTCTGAACTGTGTGAGAATGAAAGGCACTGGAGCCATTCTGCTGATTCTTATTTTATTTTTGGGATGACGCAGGATGTGTGTCTCCAGCCCAAATCCCTGACCAGATGTTTTTTAAACTCAAGTGAACGAGGAAACTAAAATATGTGTGGCTGATTGAAATATGAAGGCAGCTTGTTTGGGAAGTCGACTACATTGCTCTGCTGTATGTGTGAGCACACGGCTTACACAAATCAGAATTCAAGAGCCATTCTTTCTTTCTTTCTTTTAAATGATATTTAGTAATTCTGGTCTTTTTAGATGTGGAACACAGAACTGTTGACAACTCCCAGCATATTTGCGGAAGGTGAGTGATGAATTGGTGAATGAGCAGTGAGAGCTTTAAATCACATTGCTGGTGGATTGGGTTAGTCTTAGTCGGGAATAAGAATTTAAAAAAAGTTAATAGTTTACTGGATCGTTCACATTATAATCAATCCATTATTTATATTTTTTATAAAGACATTAAACCCAAAGTTTATTCAGTTTTGGATTAAAAAAAAGCAGCTGTGTAATGCCTAAAACCAGTGTGGTGTGCATACTAATTTCCTTGCAGAAAACTGGGTCAGGAATCCATAGGGGAATCGATAGTGAACCAGAGAGATAAGAGGCAGCGACAGTGGCATTGATATCATCTCATCAATTCCCATCCTTACAGCCAAACATCATCTGAGATGAAACAACAAACATGCATCTGACCTAAGCTAACCTAACACGACTCTGCAAAACTGTTGATGTACCTCTATAAGATGCTTATTTAGGACTCTTTGAGGGGTAATTTATGATGTCAAGTGCCAACAGTTTGAATCAAGTTACGCATATAACTTATTGCGTACCATTTCAGCTAAAACATACAAGACTAGCCTCACCTTCGGCTATGACAAGTTACTTCTTTTCAACTCGTACAGAGGCTCAGAGAGACTGGCATCAGTGCCCACTATCCTCTAAACACTAACCTTTGAGTGAATTCACTCTGGCCTGTTGAGGACAGCTGATTGGATAAAGCGCAGAAACAATCAGTCTATATATGAGCAGATCCAATCTTCGATCAGATCTGATTATAAGACTATTTATCACAGAAAATGGACCCATAATGACTATTTCAAATTTTTTAATTATCCAGAACAAATGTGTTGGCAAGCACAGGTCCTGCTTCAGGAGACTTCGGGTAAAATAATTACCTGTGACCTGGTAGGTGCATTTTCCTGCTCCAGCCTCGTTGATGACATTGCAGGTGTACTCGCCCCAGCCATCTCGATTTAGGCTGCGGATGGTGTACTCCGTCTCATCTTTCTGGGCGTCAAAGGCCCCAGCGTGGAGTAGCCGGTTGGAGAGCAGCCACTCGAATCGCAGCACCCGGGACGGGTGGGCTCGCAGCACCCTGCAGGTCATCACCACCGGCCTCCCCAGGCCCTGACGCATCTCCATGGACATGGGCTCCACTGTTGGAGGGTCTGCCGGGAAGATGGAAACACTCAGAAAAAAAAACAAACTTGCAGGACATTTGTTTGCAGCAAGAAAAAGAAAGTGTTCCATGGCTGTCAAAGTGCGGGAGATTTGAAGAAAGATGATTGACATAAAAAAGAGAGGGAAAGGGGACATCTAGCCATGGTTTACAATTCATGTGTAGGGCTTCTTGGACAAATAAGTCTGACCTTAAAAGATATTTACAGAGGAAAACTATTGGAGAACATGGGAAGATGGTCAGAGTGTATCTTGTCTAGAAGAGCTACAGGTGAGGTGAATGAATAAATACATGAATATAAATATTTTTAAAATGTGACCACAGAAGGGGAACTTGTCCAAGCAATGTCCTTGATGTGGGAGGAGACCTAAACGGGACAAAGTGGGAAGGAAAGCAGTCGTAAATTAGCACATCTGTACATCCCCCACAAACGGCTGAAAGAGAAACACAAGAGAGAAAAATGCTGTAACACGGACAAGCTCAGGGAAAAGGAGAATAAGGCATGATGTTAGTAAAATTCACCATTCAGCACTGAAAAGTCAGTTTCATTTCAGACATAGCTGAGGAAGGAAAACAATCGTGGGGAGACCATTAACGGCTGTGAGAAGATCAATTTTTTGGGAAAAACGTAAACAACGTTTGAATGAACATCCGCCATGCGTTTGAGAAAATTGGAAGCAGAATGACAAAGTGCACCTCGAGCTCTCCAAATGGAAAATGAAATGAACATATTTGAGTATCTGACGACCTTCCCCTCTTCCGACATGGACAACCCACTGATGAATTATTCAAAGGGCTGGATGGCCTTAATGGAACCAGGACGCCTTCTGCAAAGTTTAAAATGCGGGATGTTCACACCAAAGGACACGCTTGATGTTTGCCCGCTCAAATGTACAGTGACTTGTGCATGGATTCTTGGTGCGCTCGGTGTTTGTGTGTGCAAGCAGCTGAACAGTTCTGAATATTTTCCCCCTGTTTTCGGCATCTTTGCTCAACACAGATTCTTGACAAAAGTCAAGAAATTTACATAAAAAACAGAATGAGACAAGACAGAATGACACAGAGCCCCGTAATTGCTTGAAATTTGCATACATTCTGGCAGAGTAAAGAAGAGGTGGGAGCTTTAGCCAGGCTGGAGATGCTATTTTTCAAAATGCAATCTGTTACAGATCACTGATTACCTGATTGAAATTGTAATCTGCAACATAATCTTCTGCATTATTCACACTCGGTAATATAATCTAATTAGTGAGCCTTCCAAACTTGATGGGAGATGCAATTAAATGAACAGTGTATGAAAATTTACAGCATATAATTTGATAACACTATTAATTACGAAATTGTCTACAACCTTAATGAGCCAGTTTTTAAAAAAACTGATTTTAAAAAAATGTTCTTTTTTTAAAGGTTTCTAAATTTGCTGTGTTTTCACAACAGACGCCTCAATGAGGCAACATGTTATGAAAGCTTGTAGAGGTGTGGAACCTGTAGTTTTAAAAATATTCTGATATATTTCAGAGGATATGAGAAATACGCTCTACGAAACAGGTGCAGATAAATGAATCTCACAGAGAGGGATTTACTACAACCTGCATCACTATGACAGGAAAAGCCCATTTTAAGTTTTGTATGTGAAATTGTTGAATCACACAGTGAAAACGGTGTGGAGGAGGATATTTTCCAATTTTCAACATAGATCAGAAATGACATCAGAACAAACTATTGATTTCCATGCTGTCACTCAAGGATGGAGTTCACATGCTCAAAGACAACCGGGAACTTGGAATCTAACGACTCAAAGGAGAATTTGTGTTCTGTTCTTTATGCTTTGTACTTGATTTTTTCTTAATGCATACCCTGTAAAGTCTGCAGGAATACAGTTCTCACTGTAGTTGGAGCTTAGTAGGACCAGTTGTCAGCCAATCGACAGTTGTCCACTGTCCTTGGGCAAGGCCCTGAACTCCACATAGATGTGTTCAATGGTGTGTGAATGTGTGTGATAGGGAAAAACAGTTTACCACCTGGAACACTGCATTTACGAAGACATGGAGTATGATTGTGTTTGTGCATGGATGGATGTGGGTTGAGTGGTTAACTAAAAAGGTCGCTGGTGCAGTCCATTTGCCCTTTCAGGTTTTACCAGCAGTGTCTTATAAATGCAGAGAAATAGAGTTTCACTAAATGGTGAGGCTTCTTCTTCTGTAAACAGATGTGTTGGGTCTAAGAAGCCCAAGAGTGGAATGCATGAACATATGTTCAGTGATGCTTTGGAATGTTTCTCCTGCTACCAAGTAACTACAACACAGCTTGTGGGAAAAAGTGCTGGGAGAGCTGAGTCACACACCTAATGTATACTCTATACGGGCAAAGATTTTTTACTGTGTACGCACTGAATAGTCAATGTGTCTACTGTGTACGAGAGAGTGTATGCCCAGAGGTGCGACAGCTGTTACATACTATGTAGTCACTTAAATACTAAAAGATCAATAAGGGAAGCTGTAAGCTATAAGGGAAAATAAACGAGAGAGCTGAAACCAAGGATGTTCCAACAAGGACAGGCAGCAGTGGACAGGTGCATGCACCCCTAATTATTAAAAGAAATGACTTGATAGCTATCAAACTCTTAGAAATGATCGTAATCGTACTGTTGATATGAGCAGGAAAAATAAAGGGAAGGCCTTTCTTAGTCCAACAGCTACATGATATAAATGAGAGAAAATCGTGGAGTCAGCCATCTTTTTGCCTGAGCGGTATCTGTGCATTTTCATTACAGATGCCTCTAGATGACTGGAGTTGTGAGCTGTTAGCTGAAAAACAAGATCACACCAAAGTCTAATACCTCATCAGGTTCCGAAGAACCAAAATGAATGATGCATAGTTTTAGAACCTCACTTACAGACCTGGACACCCCCCCCATCAGCCCTATGTCATTGCACAAAAAAATGTGACTGCATGTCCAGCCTTTTTCAAGTTGGACAGCAAAGCCTGGAATGTACAAAGCAAAATTGGGCTGTCGACATTATACAGAATACAAAATAATACACAGAACAGTCCAAAATGGGGTTTTACGTCCTTAGCCTGACTGCTAATTATCACTCAACATGCAACATCCTCCACTTCACTGAGGAGCTGCGCTGATTAATGACACACCATTAGGTTGGATAATAGCTGCTGGAAATGTGAAAAATGATAAATCATATCGCCATGGGTGAGGGATAAAGTAAACAGGGATCGGCCAAGAGGTTCAGACTTTTACAGAAGAAATAAAAGGTTCTCCTTCTGTATATGAAGCTTTTCACAAGGCTGACAGTGAAGGGGTTTCATCTCTGCTATGTAAAGCAGCAATCGGTCCTTCCTCCTTCAAATTAGCCTTTCTTGGGCTTTCACTGTAACCCAAAGGTTTGCGACAGCCTTCAACAGAAGGGGCCTGAAGATCTACTTATCACATTAAAATGGTAGGTTTTTGAACAGCAATGAATCCCATCTAGCACCACAACCTCCCTGAGTGGCACTAGATGAAATTGCAATAAGTGCAGTTCCATTCGCACAGAAATACAAATGAAAAACTCCAGGGGTGGGTGGGGGGGGTGTCTGTTATATAACCAAAACATGCTTTAAACAAGGACACATGCGTGAGCTATCCCATGCGCTTTCCCTGTGAAACAGCTGCTCGGCAAACACGGGCAAAAAGGAGCAGAGAGGTCTGGTGTGATATCCCCTCAGCAGCACTCGCCACGGTTAGTGTAGCAGCTCAGGCTATGAGAGCTTGGAGTTGCTGTAAGTCACACGGGCTTGGGGAAAAGTCTGAGCACTGGCTGATATGTAATTTATCATCACTCACCAGTGTATCACTTGACACTAATGTGAAAATGAGAAAAAGCAAACAAAAACAGTTTCCCAACACAGACACTTTTTTCCTACTGTGTATGTACTCTATGCACTGACGTCTGGAGGGAAGGAGTCGAGCTAGGACACGTGCGCACTTTGGGGAGAGCGTGCGTGTGTGTTTTTGGATGTGGAAAGGCAGCTTATCTGAATTTTTGTGCACCGGTATGAGGAGAACATCTCTCGATAACTCTAAAACAATGTAGCCACATTCAAAATTGGGTCTCATTTTTATGTTCATGTGCTTTCCCTGAGTGCAGAAGTAAAAGGACGAGCAACTCCTTTGGGAGAACCTGCGGAGGCAGATTGTACTGTACAATCTGTGCACATAAAGTGAGCGCTTGTCCTTGCAATCCTTCTTCATGACTGAGAAAGTGTCAACCATTTATTTGGTCCTTCTGGTAAATCCTTTATCTCTGTTTTCATATGAAAGTTTTCCTGTAGGGATCAGTGAATGGCAAAGACTCAATTAAAATACTCCATTACGAGCAAAAGTCCATTCAAATCCTCAATCAAACCAACATGAGCTTTTTTTTTAACTAGCAAGTTGTACTCAAAAGAATGAGAAAAAAAAGCACTTAGTGCAGTATACTGACTGCGGCTGACATGGCCCCTACGGCCCTTTCCATGTTATTACTCCCATTTTAAATTCCCATTTAAAAGCCTGCATTTACTAAACGACTCAAATAATAGAGAACCCCTTCAAACAAACAATGGCTGGTTGCTACGACCAGTTGGTCTTAAGCATTGATTTTAAGTCAATACAATGTTACCTTTAACACAACTATTTCTCCCCAACCACCAAGACTAATATAACACGTGAAATCCCAGATTTGATTGAATCTATGCGATCTATGACATACATTCTAGTGGTGTTGCGTGTACACCTGGAATCATATGAATGCTCTCCATTGCAATTGCAGTTTGGTCTGATTTCAGTCTTCAAAGTGCTTTGGTGGGACAGAACTGCTTTTCAGCTGTAACTGTGTGTGGTGTGTCAGGGCTTTAGAGGCAGTGAGTAATGTCTTATTTCCTTATTTTCCCCTTATAGCCAAATATAAATGCTAGAATGTGTTGACAGGCTTGCAGAAATTAGTGAAAGTA